TGTTAAAGAATGAAGTCAGAAAGCAATGTTCACTATTTAATTGTAATGCACTAATGCAGCTGTACGTTAGATTTTTGATAAATTTCACGCTAAAATTTACCTAGCAAAAGGTTGCAAAATATTGAAACTGAAATTATTTTCTGTTTATATACACTAAAATCTACCAAAAAAGTGATGGGCCATTAGTTTTAGCTGATCTTCCCTCCTATGACACACCCTACTATAACGGGTTATTCTCGTGTGACCGATATCCACAGAGAAACGGTGGGCACCGTGGGCAAGACGTGTTTTACGAACCCACACCTTGCCGGCAGTACACAGGATGCTAAATCCACCGAACATTGCCCGTTAAAGTACCTGTAAAAGAGAGAGAGTGAAGCAACATTGCGGTGAAGAGAAAGGGAAGAGAGATTGTCTACTAAAGGAGGAGAGTTAATAAGACGAAATGCCTTTGATTCCACCCTATCTAATAGTTGGACAGAAGAAGAGCCACCCCAGATATGAGAGCAGTACTCCAAGTTAGGACGAATGAATCCCTTATATACTTGGAGCAACTGCTCAGGAGTGAAGTAGCTGCGGCATCTGTACAGCATTCCCAACTTTCGGGAGGCAGCTTTAGTTATACTAAGGATGTGTGATTTCCAGGACATATTGGAGGAAATGGTGAGGCTTAACATATTTAGTTCAGAATTTGGGAGGATGATATCGTCCTGAAATGTAATTGGTGGGAGATCGTCTAATTTACAAAGTGTAATTGGTAAATATTGAGTTTTATTACTATTGAACTTAACCAAGTTTGTACCTCCCCATTCAGAGATGCTGCACAAATCCGCGTTGATAGAAGTAATGATATCAGTTCTAGAAACAGATCTAGTTTGAGAGTTAGGAGGAAGGGGAAAATGTGAGGAAGAGTGAAGAGTAGAGTCATCAGCATAAGAATGGATAGAATTAGTTGTAGTGTGAAGTAAATCACTGATAAAAAGAAGGAAGAGAGTTGGCGAAAGAACAGAACCCTGTGGGACGCCACTACTGGTAGAGAAAGAGCGAGAAATCGATCCCTCGACAACAACTGCCATGGATCAGTTCTCAAGGAAGCTAGAGATGAGAAAACAAAGTGGGGGGAGAGAAACCAAAAGAGGGAAGTTTAGATAGCAAAGACTTGTGCCATACCCTGTCAAATGCTTTGGAGATGTCGAGGGCCATGACAAAAGTTTCCCCATAATCCCTAAGAGAGGATGACCAAAGATGGGTGCAATAGGAGAGCAGATCACCAGTAGATCTCACCTGGCGAAAGCCATACTGGTGATCCGACAAAAGAGAAAGGCGTTCAAGGTGACGGAGAAAATGGGAGTTGAAGATAGTTTCGAAAATCTTAGAGAGGGATGAAGTTAGGGGAATGGGGCGATAGTTAGAGGGATTAGAATGGTCACCCTTCTTCGGGATGGGCTGAGCCAAGGCATGCTTCCAAGAAGAAGGAAAAGTTTGGGTTTTGAGGCAAAGGCGAAAGAGGCGATGATATTCTATTTTCAATGCTCCTTCACTTTGAAGTTGAGGCACAGACCTTTCTATTGGAGCTACAGGCTCTGGGGAGAGGGTTCCTTTCCATCTTCATGGCGGGAGGCTACTGTCCTGCCTTTCAAGAAGACTGGAAAAGAGGGTCTTCACCCGCTAGAATATCGCCCCATGGATCTGACCTCTTGCATCTGCAAGCTGTTTGAATAGATGGTCAACTAGCAATTAGTATACTGCTTGGAGAAGAATGCCCTACTTTCACCATATCAATCTGGCTTCCAGAAGAAACATTCAACAACAGATGCTATTGTTCGTCTTGAGTCCTCGATCTCTGAGGCTTTTGCTCGTCACCAGCATCCCATTTGCATTTTTTCTGACCTAAAAAAGCATACGACACAGCTTGGAGATTCGGCATCCTTAAGGAGCTATACCAATTTTAGCTTGTGGGAATATTTACCATCAATAATAGGTGAGTTGTTGGGATGTCTCAGTTTTGGGTCTGCATTGCCACAGAAATATCAGCACCACATATTCAGGAGGACGGGGTCCCTCAGGGCAGTGTCTTTAATGTGACCTAGTTTGCCATCACAATAAATAGGGTAACAGTATCAGTTCCAGGTGGTGTATCACTCTCATTGTATGTAGACGACTCGGTCATTTGGTATGCAGTTTCCCGTATGTCAGTGGCTCAATGTCGTTTGCAACTTGCACTAGTCAAAGTTTCACGTTGGACCACAGAGCATGGTTTCAGATTTTCCCCCTTGAAGGCTGTTGCCATGCATTTCTGCCATCTCCGAGGTGTTCACCCAGCTCTTATGGTCGTCATGTGCGATGTGTCACAGACACCCATTTCCTGAGCATTATCTTTGACAACAGCTTATGTGGCAGCCACATATTAGTTACCTCAAAGAGTCTTGCCATCATGCTCTTAAGTTATTGAGTCTTGGGGCACACATATAGGGGCACTGACTGAGGAACTCTGCTACACCTTTACAAAATGTTAGTTAGACCCAAACTAGGTTATCGGGTGTAAGGTGTACTCCTCAGCCACTGAAGCTAGACTCGATACACTGAACTCTATTCATCATGCTGGGGTGCCTCTTGTGACCAGAGCCTTCAGGTCTTCACCAAACCCATGTCTACTAGTTGATGCTGATGAGCCAACCCTTGATCTTCAACAACAGTATCTCCAGGACCAGTGTTGGTTGAACTCCACCACCTTCCACAGTCTGTAACCAACGCTTGTGTAGTTGACGAGACTATGTCCCCACACTACACTCAGCGTCCAACCCCCCAATGACCTTTCAGCTTCAGGGTAAGGGAGGTTGTAAGTATTCTTCTTCTTCCTCCTGTTCAGATATGCCCCATGCGGCTCCTGAGTGCCGCTTCATGGATTCTCCTTGAAGTTAGTCAATATTTTAATGAAAGGCAGGACTTATTCCCTCCCTGTGTTGTTCATTCTCTATTCTTAGGTCATGCCTCCTCTCAGAGAGACTATTCTTGTACAGTGATCCCTCGGTTAACAAGCGCCTCTGTTAACGAAATTTCGGTTAACAAATTACCTTCCATAAGATTCTTCACTTTGATTAACGAATTCCTCACGAATTTTTCCCAACATGTTTTCGGCTGCTCACCAGCTGTAGTATTAGTCTGCCAATACAGTAATTGGTTTTAGGGCTTAAATTCATTACCATTTGAGTAAATATCAAGAAGGTTGTACTATTCAATAATTTTCCAAGTCTTATATTAAAGTTTTTAGTCTTTTTAACAATTTTTTAACATAATTGAAGTACAGGGAACTAGTTTTTAGCGCGCCAAACAGCCACTCAACACACCCAAAATGGCGTCAGTGTGTGTCCCTGGTCAGAGGAGGAAGCATCTTGCTTCAGACACTGTTAAACATAAACTATATTTATGTTTTTACAGTTGTACAATTATTGGTCATTCTGAAGTTTATTTTACATATTGACAATATATATTGCAGTGCATTGTTGATTTAAAGAAAATAAAATTGAATTACACCAAGTGAACTAAAATTTTATGGGTGAAATGGCGGTATGGGGTGACTTCTCTTCCACCCCAATGCCTTCTCTTCTCCCTTCTCCTCCACCCCCATTCTAATTCCCATCATCATCATCATCAACCAGGAGCTTTCTACATGCACACCTCAAAGTAAGTGTACTTTACTGCATTTATTTTTAGTTTGTATGTAATTTTTGGTGAGCTGGAACCAATTACCCAAAAACCCATTGAGACAATGATTTCGGTTAACAAATTTTTTGGTTAACGAGCAACCTTCTGGAACGAATTGTGCTCGTTAACCGAGGGACCACTGTATACAGCGATGGCTGTAAGTTTGATACAGGGGTGGGGTTTGGGGTAGTCTTTCCCAACTTCTGTTGTAACGTTAGTCTTCCCGCTATGGCATCTATTTTTACAGCACAGCTTTCAGGTATTTTACTTGTCCTCAACATTATTTTTCTCAACCTCATAGTGATTTTACAATTTTGAGTGATTCTCACAATGCTCTCGAGGCCTTAGCTAGTGTCTCATTGTCCCATCCCTTTGTTATAGATATATTACAGTGGCTGTTTCTCATCCAACATCGGGGCTGGAAAGACGTTTTTGCCGAGTTGTGGCCCATGTGGGGTAGAAGGGGAATGAGTGTGCTGATGCTGTGGTGAAAGTAGCTGCTTCTTGCCCTGTGGCACATCATTCCCCTCTACCTTCCTCTAATTAGAGCTGCCATATGCTGGATGCTGTCGGAGCAAACAAGCTCTGCAGCATCCACCCTTCATTGGGTGTCTGGGGATATCAAGGACTGCCACACCACCAAGAGACTGCTTTGGCCCACCTCTGTATTGGCCACTCATGGCTGACTCATGGTTTTTTAATAGAGAGGACGCCTCCTCCCCATTGTGATGACTGTCTGGCTCTAGTGACTGTTTGACACCTCCTGGTGGGGTGCCCCAGTCTCGGAGATCTTCATCGTACACCTCTTTGGTGCTCGGGGGGAGTGGAGGAAGCTGGTCTTCTACACAAGTTTTGAGTTTTATCTATTAACCTTTAGCCCTTAAGCCCCGGGTTATAGTGCTGCTGGCAGTATCCCCCCTCCCCCCTGTGCAGGGTTAAATCGAGAAAAAAATAAACTTTTCCAAAAATAATAATAAAAAAAAAAAAAATTGCGGGAAAATAGGCTGACGTTCTGGAACTCTGGAACGTTACTCTGGGCCTAAGGGTTAAATATTTTGTTATAAAAGTTCTTTGTTATTTATTTTTTAGTTTTTTGCCTTTCATTATTTAATTTGAGTCTTCTAAGCTTTCATTTTCATTTGACGACATATGATGTAAGCTGTTGTCACCAAGGATGTAATTACCACAATCAATCAATGATCATATTGTGGTGAGAATTCATATGATGTTTGTAAATAAGACAAAATGTCTTTTATTTCTTCCTCTAATATTATAATGTTTTTATTTTTCTTCAGGCTGACAAAATATCTACAAGTAGTTGTGAAAGTGGTGGAGAGAAGCCGCCATCACAACCAGAAGCTCCTTCACCACCGACTCAACCATCCCATTCTCCACAAGCACAGCCGCAGGAGCCACAGCCACTGCAGCCAAGTACGGCGGTGGTAACGCAGCCGCCACAGTCGCAACAGCAAGCAGTACAACACCAGAGCAACCCCTCCCAACAGCCACTCCTACTTCAACAACCACAACCTCCACTAAATTATCAGCCCCAAGTGGTGGCACAGTACCAGCAGCCCATCCCTGCCACGGTGCCCCCCCAGGCGTACACACCACAGTACATGCAGCCGGTGCCGACCATCCCTCAGTCACAAGCTCATTCATTACCTCCCCAGTCTTACCCTATCCAGAACATTCCCCAACAGACTGTGGGAGTGTTGCCCCAACAGGTGGGTAGTGTTGCCCCAACAGGTGTGTGGTGTTGCCCCAACAGGTGTGTGGTGTTGCCCCAACAGGTGTGTAGTGCTCCCCCAACAGGTGTGTAGTGCTCCCCAACAGACTGTGGGAGTGTTGCCCCAACAGGTGGGTAGTGTTGCCCCAACAGGTGTGTGGTGTTGCCCCAACAGACTGTGGGTGTTGTCCCAACAGATGTGTAGTGTTGCCTCAACAGGTGTGCAGTGTTGCCCCAACAGATGTGTGTAGTGTTGCCCCAACAGGTGTGTAGTGCTCCCCAACAGACTGTATGAGTGTTGCCCTAACAGATGTGTAGTGTTGCCCCAACAGGTGTGTAGTGCTCCCCCAACAGACAGTAGGAGTGTTGCCCCAACAGATGTGTAGTGTTGCCTCAACAGGTGTGCAGTGCTGCCCCAACAGGTGTGTAGTGTTGCCCCAACAGGTGTGTAGTGTTGCCCCAACAGGTGTGTGTTGCCCTAACAGGTGTGTGTGTTACCCCAACAGGTGTGTAGTGTTGCCCCAACAGGCATGTAATGTTTGCCCCAACAGGTGTGTAGTGCTCCCCCCAACAGACTATGAGTGTTGCCCCAACAGATGTGTAGTGTTGCCTCAACAGGTGTGCAGTGTTGCCCTAACATGTGTGACAACAGGTGTGTGTGTAGTGTTGCCTCAACAGACTGTGGGAGTGTTGCCTCAAATGTTCTGTAGTGTTGCCCCAACAGGTGTGTAGTGTTGCCTCAACAGGTGTGGAGTGTTGTCTCAACAGGTGTATAGTGTTGCCTCAACAGGTGTGTAGTGTTGCCTCAGGTGTGTGGTGTTGCCTCAATAGGTCTGTAGTTTTGCCTCAAAAAGTGTGCAGTGTTGCCTCAACAGGTGTGTAGTGTTGCCTCAACAGGTGAGTGGTGTTGCCTCAACAGGTGTGTAGTGTTGCCTCAACAGGTGTGTAGTGTTCCATCAACAGGTGTGCAGTGTTGCCTCAACAGGTGTGTAGTGTTGCCTCAACAGGTGTGTGGTGTTGCCCCAACAGGTGTATAGTGTTGACTCAACAGGTGTGTAGTGTTGCCCCAACAGGTGTGTAGTGTTGCCTCAACAGGTGTACAGTGTTTCCTCAACAGGTGTGTATTAATTGACAGAAAGTTTGCTGTCATAAGTGTACACATCAACAGTCTTCCATAATTTTGTGTGTGTGTGTGTGTGTGTGTGTTGCATAATGTTAAGGTGCAAGCATTGTTTGCTCCCTCTTGCTTTCAGCTGCCACCACTGGCTAGCCCTCGTGGTGAACAGGGAAGCAACTTGCATAAGTCTTCCCCTGCCAGTACACAGCCTCTTCACCATCAAGACTCCAGCTTTGCCTCCTTGTGGCAACACACGGTAACTGTGCCCAGTGGGCCCAGGCTAAATCAGCAGGGGATCTCGGAGTAGCAGTGGGCCCCAGAGGGATGGTGCTCAGGCTCACTGCCATGTGGACATGTCCTGGCGCCTACCAACCACTGCCCCGCTGCCTTGCGGACTAACCTTGTAAGCTACAAGGCTACAGGAGTAAAACCCGAAAGAAAAATCTGCGGTGGAGCCCTGCATCAGGTAGACATGCTTACAGAGCTCCAATAAGACCCTAACGGCGGTATAGACGGAAGAGGTGACCACCATGGGAACCCAAACACTACACCGGCAGACGAAGGCAATGCCTGATGAACAGGCTACTTAGGCGAAACCCAACAAACTGGGCTATCGGCAGTCCATTGCAACTTTCCCTCTCCCCACTTGTTGCAATACTTGCACCACTGGATCAGGAAAAAGGATAGCCAAAATGTGTGGTTGCAGCCTGCACTCCTGCCTCACCACATAAATCAACTCATGCGCAGCCATCATCCAGTTCATCATACTTCTCATCATCATCAAAACCCCTATACCCCCAAAAGTCCTATGGCGATGGATGAGTGGTGACGGGGACAGGCAGAGATGGCTGATGGGAGTCTCTAGTCACAACTCTGCACATGGGCAGCATAGATAAGATGGTCGTTTTTGCACTGGGATCTAGGCAGCAGTGCAATCCAGTCCTGTCTGTACGACTGAGCAGCCCTTTGGAGGAGCCACTCTGCTCACCCCACATGGGGAGGGGGCTAGAAAAGGCGCCCTAAACATAGCCTGCCTAAAAAACCAACCTGACTGGGCAACCGCACCTAGTAAGGTCGAAAACACACTTATCACAAATCAAAACAAAAACAAACTATACAACCTCTTATGGTCGCTGCATGGAATGCTAGGACCCTTCTGGATACTGGCACAAATGAGCGGCCTGAAAGAAGAATTGCCCATGTTGCAAAAGAGCTGGCTGGGTATAACATTGACATAGCACCCATTACTGAGTCCCGGCTCCTAGATGAAGGTTGACTTACAGAATGGAGGTCTGGCTACACCTTCTGGAAGGGTAATCCTGCTGCAGAGAGAAACCACATTTATGGAGTTGGCTTTGCCATCTGCCAACACATCCTACACAGACTAACTGAAATGCTTGTTGTGATCAACGAGCTCCTCATGACGCTCCGAGTCCCACTGAATCACTCACGTCATGCCTTCTTCATCAGTACATACGCCCCAACACTGGATGCAGAGGATGACATCAAGGAGGCCTTTTATGCTGACCTTGACAAAGTACTAACCTCTATCCTGATAGAAGATAAGGTTTTGCTACTTGGTGACTTCAATATCAGAGTTGGTAGAGATGCTGACATGGCAGGGAGTCAGGGAATAATGGACAAGGCAAGTGTAATCACAATGGCCTACTCTTCCTCAGCAAGTGTGCTGCACACAACCTCACTATCACCAATACCTTGTTCAGGCATGCCGACAAGTTCAAAGTTTGTGGCAACACCCACGATCCAAACTCTGGCATCTCATTGAGTACATCATTGTCAGAGAAAGAGATTGCCAAGATGTGCTCATCACCCGTGCCATGAGGGGTTCAGATCACTGCGACAATGATCATCAGCTCGTCAGAGCCAAGCTCTCACTTCACTTTGCCCCCAAAAGGCGAAGGCAGCAAGCCTCTAGATGAGGTTTTAACACTAAGTGTATGGTGGATCCAGCGGTAGCACATGCTTTCAGAGAGAAGCTCAAACATGCGCTGATAAACAACCCGACAACAAACAACCCAGATCCCAGTGCTGAATTGAGCATTCTCGACACTGTCATGACAAAAAACTGCAGAGAGACCCTATGCCAGGTCAAAAGAATACACCAGGACTGGTTTGATGAAAATGTCCCGATGATAAACGTGCTGCTTTAACTGACTTGCAGAGCAACCCTCGGTCTCGGACCAAAGCTGATACCTTCCACAAAAAGAAAGAGGCTGCCCAGCGGGAACTTCACAAACTAAATAAAGCATGTGAAACACAAAAACTTGCAGATCAACACAAGATGTGCAAATTTCTCAACTTTAAAACATTTTATGGGCCAGTCATTCATGGCACAGCCCCCCTCCGCTCATCCGATGGTAATTCCTAATTAAAGACGAAGAAGGCGTCCGTCAGCACTTGAAAAAGCACTACCATTCGCTGCTCAACTGAAACACCGATGTGGATGGCCCGACTACCCAGCAGGCCCTTCAGCATCTAGAGCTGACCCACCTCAGCTAGCCTCCATCCTTGGGTGAGGTAGTTACTGCCATCAAACAGATGAAAAATAACAAAGCCTCAGGGCCTGATGGAATCCCAGCTGAGGTGTATAAAGCAGGAGGACCTCTGCATACTAGCTGTCTCCACTCTCCCCTGGAGAATATATGGGAAAAGGAGGAAATCCCCTAAGCTCTTAATAATGCCTCCATTGTTAATATTTATATGAACAAGGGAGACCGGTCAGACTGTGGCAACTACCGTGGGTATCTTGCTGCTCTCCGTAGCTGGCAAGATTATCACCTGAAACCTCCTAAACAGACAGCTACCTGAGGCGGAAAGCTTCCTCCCAGAATCTCAATGTGGCTTTAGACCATCACATGGCACCACTGACATGATCTTTGCTGCCTGTCAGATATAGGAAAAGTGCAGAGAACAGCTTGTGACGTGTACATGGTTTTCATCGACCTAACCAAGACCTTCGACTCGGTCAACAGGGAAGCCTTCTGGTGGACCCTCAGCCTTTTTAACTGTCCACCAAAAATTCATTGCCATTGTCAGGCAACTCCACGATGGCATGAACGGCAGTGTCCTGCACAATGGCACCCAGTCCGAGTTCTTTCCCATCCAAGTGGGGGTTAAACAAGGGTGTGTACTGGCACCAACTCTCTTTTCCATCTTCTTGGCTGCCTTCTTTGCTCGTGCCAGTGCCAATTTAGCCAGCGGGGTGAACATCGAGTACCGGGTGAAGGGGGTCTTTTCAACATTAGGCGACTCTAGACAAGAAGAAAGGTGCCAGCAGCTTCTATTACTGAGCTTCAGTATGCAGACTACCTCACCCTTGTTGCTCACACTGAACATGACCTACAGGAGGTCCTAAATACCTAAGCAGATGCGTATGCACACTTAGGTCTTGAGGTGAATGTTCGTAAGACTCGGATTCTCTTTCAACCTGCCCCTGGTTCAGACACTCCTCCACCATCCATCCAGCTTAACGGTACTACCCTCTCTAATGTTACCCACTTTCGGTATCTTGGCTCCCACCTGTATACCACCGCAGACATCGATGAAGAGATTCAGCATTGGATCAGATGTGCATTTCAAGCCTTTGGCAGACTCCAAAACCGTGTCTTCAGCTATAGGTAGCTGAAATTATATACAAAGCTGCACGTATACAGTATCGAGCAGTGGTCCTCTCCACCCTGCTATATGGCAGTGAGACATGGGTCACATACAGGAGGCACCTCAAGGCACTTGAAAACTTTTACCATCGTAGTCTACGCTCCATCCTCCGAGTTCACTGGGAAGACAAGAAAACAAGTCCCAGTATTCTTGCTGAGAACAACTGTAGGAGCATCGAGGCTACCATTATCCATTAACATCTACGCTGGATTGGCCATGTAACCTGCATGGATGACAGTAGATGCCAAAGCAGCTACTTTACTGTCACCTAACAAATAGTAGAGGTAATGCCAGCGGGCAACTGAAAAGGCATAAGGATAGTCTTAAGACAAAACTGAAAAAATGCCAAATCGACCCCCTCACCTGGAGACGATTACTCCACACCATAACGCTTGGAGGAGCACTGCACTAGAAGGTGTCAATACTTTCATGTTAGCCCAATTGCAAACCGAGGCAGACAAGCGCCAACGCCGTAAAGACACTGCCACCACCCCTCCCGCGCTAGATGCAGCCCTCCACACGTGCAACGAATGTGAATGACGCTGCTGGTCCAGTAGCGGCCTCTTTAGTCACCTCAGAACTCACCAACCTAGGTGACATCCTTAATAACTCATATCATTGTATCATAGCTTGATGATCGTCATACTCGATTCCGAGTGACATCAAAGTACAGTAGTAGTAGTAGTGTGTGTGTGTGTGTGTGTGTGTGTGTGTGTGTGTGTGTGTGTGTGTGTGTGTGTGTGTGTGTGTGTGTGTGTGTGTGCCATAATAACTATTATGTGTTACATTAACTATGTATCGGCAGGTGGCCAACATGGTACCAGTGTCAGGCATGGTACAAGACATCATGATGGCCGCTCCAATGGCCCCAGTCGTGCCCACCAGCATACCAGGAGGTGTGTCCTTCCCTCAAGGAGTGCCTGATGTAGTAGGTCAGGGCATGATCCAGCCAGTGCCTGTACCTGTAGTGCCTCAGGTGGTTGGAGGCGCCACTGACTGCTATGTGGCACCTCCCATCCACCAAGTTTCTGTTGATAATGACCCCATCAACTTGGTGCTCAGAGTCAGGTCAGTGATTCCGCCACTCCTACATACCCACAACACTTCCACAACACTTCCACTACACCAACACTTCCACTACACCAACACTTCCACTACACCAACACTTCCACTACACCAACACTTCTACAACACTTCCACTACACCAACACTTCCACTACACCAACACTCCACTACACCAACACCTCCACTACACCAACACTCCACTACACCAACACTCCCACCACACCAACACTTCCACCACACCAACACCTCCACTGGCACCTCCACTACACCAACACTTCCACTACACCAACACTTCCACTACACCAACACTTCCACTACACCAATACTTCCACTACACCAACACTTCCACTACACCAACACTTCCACTACACCAACACCTCCACTACACCAACACTTCCACTACACCAACACCTCCATTACACCAACACTTCCACTACACCAATACTTCCACTACACCAACACTTCCACTACACCAACACTTCCACTACACCAACACTTCCACTACACCAATACTTCCACTACACCAACACTTCCACTACACCAACACTTCCACTACACCAACACCTCCATTACACCAACACTTCCACTACACCAACACCTCCATGTAACAATTATATGGGTTTTATTACTGCTTTTTTATTTATTTCTATTTATCTTCTTATTTTTATTCTTTTACTTCTTTCTTTCTCTTTCCTCATTCGTAATTCTTTATTCTCCTCATTGTATACTGGTGAGAGGGTGTGTTTAGGCTGGATGGAGACTGGAGACTTGTTTATGTTTGAGGTGGGCTGGTGGGTGTTAAGGAATGTAAGCCCTCACACACATCAAGTGGAGATTGAATAACTGGGGACTAGTACTAAGATACAACACTTAACAGAGGGGAAATATGAAACGGTTATTTCTTAGGACTCACTCCGCTACTGTATATCACTAAAGACACTTAGAAAGGACGATACTCTACCCCATACACAAGGGAACTGAGAACTAATCATAACAGTTCTTTGTTTATTAATGACGTTACTCAAAATGAACAGTTACACTTCAGAACAATAACCTATCTTCCTAACTAGCTAACCAGGGGTCACATGAATCATAATACATTTCGTGAAACGGATAAAACCTAAAAGGTACTCACATTATACCCCGCCATATGAGATGACACCCACGTGCACCCACACTTAACTCTGTCCAAAATCAGACTGTCTTTTTCAAACTGTTTTGCCCACAAAGGGACGCCGCCTCTTCATGACGTCATGTCTCACAGGTTTTCTTTTTGGTTCAGGCATAAGGCATTCGCCCTCACAGGTCCCTGCGATTGGCTCGAATACTCAGGCGGGAAACACTCTTGACATTGTTACACTAGGGGGCAGGGAAAAAACACTTTTATTTGAGTTGCAGGCTGCACTTTTCAGGCATCGTTTGTATGGCTGTAACAAACACCTGTGTAAAATTTCATGCCATTTCATGCATACTTACCCTGCCGCATCGCGAACGACTTTTTGTCAACTTTTAGTGTATACCAAAAATTAGGTGTCATTTAATGTTTTCCAGGATAATGATAAATTTTACATGGGTGACATCGATTTAATTCACATGTTATTTTACAGGTACACCGTATAGAAAATCATTACAAGTTCATATTGAAATTCTTTTTTGTGCGGAACCTTGGCATCATTTTCCTAGACAATAATCTTTGCCTAATATATCCATCTCTCGATTCGTATCCCGTCACTTCAGTGCAAGCTTCAGTCATCACTTTTATGCCTCTCTCGACCGCCTGAGTGCTGTTTGGCCACTTGGGCACCACTAATGGTGTCTCAAGAATGTCATTAACCTGTAGATTTGACAGAGAAGCAATGTAAGGAGGCTCAGTCTTGAGTTCATTCCTCCAGTTAATCATGGAATGATAGTTTTTTGCTTGCCACTTTAGTTTCGGAGTCACCACCTTTCTCATGTTGACTACAGGAGGCACATCCTCATTCCCATCTCCATCTTTACCCTCCTCATCAGTATAGTTTAACAAATTCTCGTCAACAGCAGCATCAGAATCTTCCTCCTCCTCTTCAGATCTGCCAGTGCATTCTTCCTTTTGCTGATTCTCCTCTCTAATTTTTCTTATCATTGAGACAGCTTTTTCTCTAACAGTCATGTCCTCATCTGCACACATACCAAGAAGAAGTTGATCTGTGTGGGCGAAGTATGCATTTCTCTGGACAGCCTTCTTCACTATCGTCTCCTCCTCACTATTCAGGTGTTTCATATATAGCAGGGACTGGAATACGTTCCTTGAGCCGTGTGTTACGTAAGGGTGTATCTTGATGTAAAACCACATTGGAGCACTGAACTTTATTATTGTAATGACAATTCTTTTCAACTCATGGCTGGGTCTTGATGTTGCTACATACAGCCTGAGGATTCTACTCCATAAGGTGTTCCACCTTGACACACAGGGAGGACCTGGCTCAATAGCAGCCAAGTCATCTTCAACAACACCTGTGATAACTCCTTTACAAATCCTATACAGGTATTTCTGATCCCAGGACAGATCTTTCTCCACTTCATCATTAAACACAGGGAAATCAGGGAAACTGACTGGCTGGAAGGCGACAACTGGAAGCTCAGACAAAGACTCCTTGATCTGCTTTCCAATGGGACCACGCCAATGCTCAGGACCACTTGGTTTACCATCATAGTGATAAAAAACTGCGCGGAAAGGCAGCTCATTTCCGTGAAGCTGACATATGAAATAATGGAGCGGGTGACCAAGTAACATTTCAAGATGATGAATGACTCCATTTTCTGATCCTACATTTACATTGGTTCCATCACAACCAACACACACAATGAGCTGCTGGGTTAGATTTTTCTCCACCAGAAACTCGTGAATAGTTTTGGCAATCTGCTTTCCGTGTCCAGTCTTGGGAGTCACACGTGTGAGATATTCATTGCCAGGCTCAACCATGATGACATAATGATCTTTCACCTTCATCCTCGAACTCCATTTCTCGGTCTTCTCATTCTTTATCATCACACGAGTGGCGGTCTTCTTACCATCAAAATAGAGTGACGTCAAATTATCTAAACTAGCCAAGTGCGCCAACTTACCCAGGTCTCCCCTACATTACAGTACAGTAACACAACATTGAGAAATGAAATGAGAAAAGGCTGATAATCAATATAGACATAGCACCATACTCATCTGCAACAAGACAACTTAAATGAAATAAGAGATATGAAAAAAAAGTTGATAAACACTGAACAGAACATTGCACCGCCACAGCGGCTGTTTGGCTAGTACTGTAGGTAAATTTAAAAATTTCAGTAGAAAATGCGGCAGACTAAACCTCGACATATCAGCTTCAAATTTGGCATGGAGTCTTAGATATGTATAAGGAACAATGCCTGAAGAGTGCAGCTTTGAGCAAAATTTCACTGCCCCCTATTGTTACACCCACAACACCAACACTCCCACAACACCATCACTAATGTGTTGCTATATCACTAGTGTGCTCATGAGCCACCAGTTAAATTGTGTTGTTGTTGTTGTGTTTCAGGAACCAGAAGAGAGAACTTAATGACATCCGGTTTGAGTTCACCGTTGGACGAGACACCTCGGAGGGCGTTGCCTCAGAGTTAGTAGCAGCTGGACTGGTAGATGGTCGAGACTTAGTCGTTATTGCTGCTAACTTAGACAAGATTACACAACATCCTGAAATGGGGCAAAACCTAACTTTTAGATTGGTGAGTACAACAACTGTTATTGTCTTGTTTACAACCATAGATCTTTTACCCTTGTGACTTGTATTGAGGGTTTTCTGGCTTCTTGGGTTGTAGGTCATCTATCTGTCACCAGTAGACTACATCAAGGTTTGCTGTATTAATACTACATGATTGATAAAAATAAACAAATAAAACACATCAAATGCAGTGTTGAGAGTTGCCTCAGTACACTAGATAGCCAGCTGGGGTTTGTTTACCTCCTTGAAGCTTCTTGTCAGTCACGAGACATTTGCCCATATTCAAGACCGTTTATGTGGGTTCTACTTACGAGGACTCCTCGCGGTGAGCTTTGCCCAAGCCATGGTCTTTGGTTGTATTCTAGGTGGTACAAATCGTGGAGTTTGCATGGGACTTGCTCCAGGTCTGTCAACATAGGAAAAAAGGGAATGTTGGTACACAAACAACTGATCACAATTACTGTTAGTTGTGGTTAATAAAAATCAAATAAAGATATACTGAATCAATAGAATTATCATATATACGTACAGTACTGTATTGTATAAAGTACAAATCTTGTATTTTTTTTACAAGTTGCCCATAATCTTCTGAGTCACCATGTGTCGTCTGTTTACCGACCTGCTCGGTCCGAGTGTACTCTCACATCCACATAAAATGTAAAATTATACCATGACACTTCAATAAAGTTAGTTCCATTGGTACCAGATAACAAAATAAGCACTTTCTGTTTACTAAGGCGGGTGTCTGGGGGGGGGCTGGCTAGGGAGTTAGGTAAAGTTAGGTAGGTTTCTTTGGTTGATTAGGTCAGGTTCTATTACATTCACTATTATTCATTTGCGACAGAGATATATACTGTATAATGAAAGGTACTCGGAATGATGAGATATATCTAGAACTGGACCCAAAAATATTGTGGGACATTATAGACAACTTGTAAAAACTTACCAATTTTGTTTACTGGTGATGAATGAGTTCACACGTGTGTGTGCCTGCCTGCCTGCGCAGTAGCTAAAACAACTATCTGTGCAGGTGGGGGTCGATATGCTCCGAAATTTTACGTGTGACTAGTGACAGTCCTCATATACCAAAATTTATCGTCCATGATCTCATATTGTTTCCCACAAAGTATGCACAGATAGTTTTAGCTACTGTACGTACTTTGGCCTCCCGCACAGTCCCACTTTTTTCTCTACCAATTCATTGATCTTTTCTACTGTACGTACATTACATTAATTACATTAATTAAAAGATACATACAGTACAGTATTTTTTACATTAATTTTACTACTGTACACCTACAACCATAATCAAGGCTTTAATGTACACAAAATCAATACAATAAGCTCTAATACCCACTCATTTCATCCAAAATACTATTGCGTAATTGCTTTGGTAAAATCCCTAAATGGCAACTGGAGGCTGACGGGAATCATTCCTGTCTATATGGTAAGAGATACCGAGTACACCCCCCCCCCCTCCAAAAAAAAACAAGAGATCACTACACATACGTGTATAGTTCATGAAACACAAGTCAACTTGTAGCATGATGGATGACTCATTAATGAGTAATATGGTATAAAATCAAGAGATTTTTCAGGGAATTTTTTTAATATACATACGTATACAGTAGTTATGAAAAGAATACAAATAATAATAATTATTGGTGACAGCACAGGCCAGGAGGCAGGTTGTCCTCCCTCTACCACCCGTCATCTCCCCCAGTCTACAAACCCAAATACAGTAATCCCGTGTTTTTCGTGGGAATTATGTTCCTGAAACCTCCGCGAAAAGCCAAAACCACGAATATTCTTTTAGGAATCACTCTACCTGTGGCCACCAAACAGCTCAGGTAGGTCATGCACTTAACCACGCCATGCTCTCCACTCACGGCCCAGTGGTCACACTGATCACTGATGCACTGTGCCGGCATTTACTAACATCATTATTTGAAACTAATCATATTGTAGTATAAAAATGGAAAAACGTAAACACAGTTATCTAGTGGTCCCTCGGTTAACGAACACAATTTGTTCCACAGTGTCGTTCGTTAACCAAAAATTTTGTTTACCGAATCTGTTGTTTCGATGGAATATTGGGTAATTGGTTCCAGCTCACAAAAAAGTACATACAAAGTAAAAATAAAATGCAGTAAAGTACACTTACTTTGAGGTGTGTATGTAGAAGGTTCCTGGTTGATGATGATGATGGGAATTAGAAGTGGGGGTGGAGGAGAAGGGAGAAGAGAAGGAAGTGGGAATGGAGGAGAAATCACCTTTCAGGGGACCCATGCTTGATGCAGTAATTTCACCAATATAATTTTAAGTTCACTAGGTGTAATTCAAGATTAGTTTATTTAAATCAACACTGCACTGCGCTTTATACAGTATTACCCCGCTTTACGCGGTTTCACTTTCAGCATTTTCTCATTTACGTGGTGCCTCGCCAGAACCGAACTTTCACTTTCCGCGGTTCATCTACCCATATATGTGCAGAGTGTCTGGCTCGACGCTATTTTTAGATTCGCCCCTCCCGCCTGCTCCCACCTCCGCCTCCGCAAGCCGCGCGGTAAGGTTGCGCAGTGCATGTCTCTGTTGCGTTATCAGTGACGTCATATGACGTATCGGACTGTGATTGGCCATGCATCCCTACCTCCCTCCGCTGCTAGCTGTAATTGGTTTAAAGTAATATGACGTGTCCACCCGCGGGAGGGAGGGAGGAAAGACGACGCTTGACCTAACCGCGGCAGTTTCATCCCTCCAGGCCACACCGTGTATACGTGCATCCATTGTTCTGTGAAATGGCTTCCGCCGGACCACCGCCACCAGAGAGAAACCTTTCCTTACCTGGACCCAGCCGCCCTAAGCCAAAGAAGATACGCCGTTCCCTAAGCTACGAAGTGAAATACCAGATAATTCAAGATTTGGAGAAAGGAACACGTCAAGCTGATCTCGCGCGCCAGCATGGAGTGAACGAATCTACGATTCATACTATTAAGAAGGATGCAGCCAAGATCAAAGAGCACATGAGAATCACAAAGTCTGCAGGTGCCTCAATGATCAAGTATTGCCAGAACAAGGTGCTGCTAAAGGTGGAAAATTTGCTGGTGAGTTACTTGATTCGTCAGGCGTGACGCAACATGGCGGTGGACACGCGATCCGTTCAAGAGTACGCATGTGAACTGTACGCAGCAGTGTCACGTAAGATGGGAATTGCAGAGCCCAAACCCTTCAATGCTTCCTCTGGTTGGCTGCATAGGTTTAAGAAGAGGAACAATATCACCAACATCAACATTGGTGGTGAAGAAGCGAGTGCTGACCGAATGGCGGCTAGAGATTTTCCTCCGTTCTTCCGTGAGGTTATGGAGGAAGGGCAGTTCACTGACGACCAGGTGTTCAACATGGACGAATCCGGCCTTTTTTGGAAAAAGCTGCCTACCAAGACCTTTGTTGTCCAGTCTGCCAGCAAGGTTCGGGGTCGGAAGTTGCCGAAGGAGCGCATCACCGTCCTCTTTACCACCAATGCCTCCGGTACTTGTAAACCAAAGTTATCGGTGATTCACACAGCCTGCAAGCCGCACGCTTACAAGAAAGTGGACATGAGCAAGATTAATGTCCACTGGCTGACCGCACGCAAGGCGTGGATGTTCTCTGCTCTGTCACTCTCCTGGTTTGATGACTGTTTCATTCCCGACGTGAAGAAATTCTGCGAGCAAAAAAATTTTCCATTCAAAATTTTGTTGCTCCTTGACAACGCACCAGGACACTCACCCCTACTTATGGATCGTCACCCCAACGTAAAAGTGGTCTTCCTTCCTCCCAACACTACGTCATTAATCCAGCCCATGGACCAGGAGTTGATCTGCAATGTTAAAGCTCCATACTCGGCAAAGAAATTCAAGCTCCTGAACGACTGTACTAACACCAAGGATGAGTTGCGTAAGCTGGGTGACACCGACAGCGAGAGTAAAAGCGACGAGGACAAGGAACAAGAGGTTGTGACTCAAGAAGTTCTCGTCAAACAGTTTTGGAAGAAATTTAACGTCAAACAAGCTGTAGACTTCTTGGTGGAGGCATTGGATCAGCTGTCTATAGCTACGATTCGTCACGCATGGAGGCATATGTTGCATGGCATACCAGGTGAGAGGCAGAGTCAACCTGTGACTGGTGAGGTTCAGTCTGTGACAGTGGCATTGGACCTTGCAAGAGAAGCTGCGCACAGTATTACAGCTGAAGGCTTCTCCGAGACCACCAACGACGACATCCTGGAGGTGGTCAGAGATCCTGAAATGACTGCCGACAAGATGTTGGAAGATGATAACGTCAGTGAAGAGGAAGGTGGTGCGTCAATCCCAGAAGAACACAAATTAACGCATAGTAATATTAAGGGTGCCATCGGGTGTGCAGAAAAATTAAAGCTCTTCCTTTCCAATGACCCTGACGATGACCGCTATGAAGTCTTCCATACCCGGCTGGTGCAGGCTATGGAGCCGTACATCAAGGTGTATCAAGACAACATCAACACTAGCTGTCAAAAAAGCATTACCGAGTTCTTCGCCCGCAACGCACCACAGCCAGCCAGAGCCAGTGATAGTGACAGTGAAAGTGACTTTGAGGGATTTGTCAGGGAAGCCCTGACAACTATAACTGATAGTGATGCACCTAGTAATGGTGATTCACTTGATGGCCAGTAGCCTGCCCTCTGCCTCGGAACCAGCCTCCATCCCCGTATGCCGACCCATCTCTTCTACTAACGTAAGTGTTACACCCAACCTTTAGTTTTCCTAACCTAACCTTTATTTTTCCTAACTTAACCTTTATTTTTCCTAACCTAACCTCTTCTATATTAATTGTGCGTGCATACCATCATAAAGTTAAGATAATATTTTTACTACAACATAGTTGTGTGTTGTCAAAAAGTGGAGTTTGGGGGTCGGGCCAGTCTCTATTGGAATTAATCCCATATGTTCTGTTGTTCACTTTACGCGGGTTTCACTTTCCGCAGTG